AGACCCTTCCAGAGCTGAGATATCGAAACTCAAAATTTCGACCCGAAAAAAAAACGACAGTGTTACCCCTTACGTTTTTTTGCGTTTTCGGGCGAAAAATCAAGTTTCTCCAATCTTCTCAAAACTCTGGATTATGATAGAGGGCCGCGAGACTTTGACCTGAGCGCAAAAATGGAGGCTCTAGACCCTTCCAGAGCTGAGATATCGAAACTCAAAATTTCGACCCGAAAAAAAAACGACAGTGTTACCCCTTACGTTTTTTTGCGTTTTCGGGCGAAAAATCAAGTTTCTCCAATCTTCTCAAAACTCTGGATTATGATAGAGGGCCGCGAGACTTTGACCTGAGCGCAAAAATGGAGGCTCTAGACCCTTCCAGAGCTGAGATATCGAAACTCAAAATTTCGACCCGAAAAAAAACCGACAGTGTTACCCCTTACGTTTTTTTTTGCGTTTTCGGGCGAAAAATCAAGTTTCTCCAATCTTCTCAAAACTCTGGATTATGATAGAGGGCCGTGAGACTTTGACCTGAGCGCAAAAATGGAGGCTCTAGACCCTTCCAGAGCTGAGATATCGAAACTCAAAATTTCGACCCGAAAAAAAAACGACAGTGTTACCCCTTACGTTTTTTGCGTTTTCGGGCGAAAAATCAGTTTCTCCAATCTTCTCAAAACTCTGGATTATGATAGAGGGCCGCGAGACTTTGACTGAGCAAAAAATGGAGGCTCTAGAAGGGGAAGAAAACCTATCGAAAGTTTAAATTGAGACGAAAAACACAGTGTTACCCCTTTCGTTTTTTGCGTTTTCGGGCGAAAAATCAAGTTTCTCCAATCTTCTCAAAACTCTGGATTATGATAGAGGGCCGCGAGACTTTGACCTGAGCGCAAAAATGGAGGCTCTAGACCCTTCCAGAGCTGAGATATCGAAACTCAAAATTTCGACCCGAAAAAAAACGACAGTGTTACCCCTTACGTTTTTTTTGCGTTTTCGGGCGAAAAATCAAGTTTTCTCCAATCTTCTCAAAACTCTGGATTATGATAGAGGGCCGCGAGACTTTGACCTGAGCGCAAAAATGGAGGCTCTAGACCCTTCCAGAGCTGAGATATCGAAACTCAAAATTTCGACCCGAAAAAAAAACGACAGTGTTACCCCTTATGTTTTTTTGCGTTTTCGGGCGAAAAATCAAGTTTCTCCAATCTTCTCAAAACTCTGGATTATGATAGAGGGCCGCGAGACTTTGACCTGAGCGCAAAAATGGAGGCTCTAGACCCTTCCAGAGCTGAGATATCGAAACTCAAAATTTCGACCCGAAAAAAAAAACGACAGTGTTACCCCTTACGTTTTTTTGCGTTTTCGGGCGAAAAATCAAGTTTCTCCAATCTTCTCAAAACTCTGGATTATGATAGAGGGCCGCGAGACTTTGACCTGAGCGCAAAAATGGAGGCTCTAGACCCTTCCAGAGCTGAGATATCGAAACTCAAAATTTCGACCCGAAAAAAAAACGACAGTGTTACCCCTTACGTTTTTTTGCGTTTTCGGGCGAAAAAATCAAGTTTCTCCAATCTTCTCAAAACTCTGGATTATGATAGAGGGCCGCGAGACTTTGACCTGAGCGCAAAAATGGAGGCTCTAGACCCTTCCAGAGCTGAGATATCGAAACTCAAAATTTCGACCCGAAAAAAAACGACAGTGTTACCCCTTACGTTTTTTTGCGTTTTCGGGCGAAAAATCAAGTTTCTCCAATCTCTCAAAACTCTGGATTATGATAGAGGGCGCGAGACTTTGACCTGAGCGCAAAAATGGAGGCTCTAGACCCTTCCAGAGCTGAGATATCGAAACTCAAAATTTCGACCCGAAAAAAAAAACGACAGTGTTACCCCTTACGTTTTTTTTGTTTTCGGGCGAAAAATCAAGTTTCTCCAATCTTCTCAAAACTCTGGATTATGATAGAGGGCCGCGAGACTTTGACCTGAGCGCAAAAATGGAGGCTCTAGACCCTTCCAGAGCTGAGATATCGAAACTCAAAATTTCGACCCGAAAAAAAAAACGACAGTGTTACCCCTTACGTTTTTTTGCGTTTTCGGGCGAAAAATCAAGTTTCTCCAATCTTCTCAAAACTCTGGATTATGATAGAGGGCCGCGAGACTTTGACCTGAGCGCAAAAATGGAGGCTCTAGACCCTTCCAGAGCTGAGATATCGAAACTCAAAATTTTCGACCCGAAAAAAAACGACAGTGTTACCCCTTACGTTTTTTTGCGTTTTCGGGCGAAAAATCAAGTTTCTCCAATCTTCTCAAAACTCTGGATTATGATAGAGAGCCGCGAGACTTTGACCTGAGCGCAAAAATGGAGGCTCTAGACCCTTCCAGAGCTGAGATATCGAAACTCAAAATTTCGACCCGAAAAAAAAACGACAGTGTTACCCCTTACGTTTTTTTGCGTTTTCGGGCGAAAAATCAAGTTTCTCCAATCTTCTCAAAACTCTGGATTATGATAGAGGGCCGCGAGACTTTGACCTGAGCGCAAAAATGGAGGCTCTAGACCCTTCCAGAGCTGAGATATCGAAACTCAAAATTTCGACCCGAAAAAAAAACGACAGTGTTACCCCCTTACGTTTTTTTGCGTTTTCGGGCGAAAAATCAAGTTTCTCCAATCTTCTCAAAACTCTGGATTATGATAGAGGGCCGCGAGACTTTGACCTGAGCGCAAAAATGGAGGCTCTAGACCCTTCCAGAGCTGAGATATCGAAACTCAAAATTTCGACCCCGAAAAAAAAACCGACAGTGTTACCCCTTACGTTTTTTTGCGTTTTCGGGCGAAAAAATCAAGTTTCTCCAATCTTCTCAAAACTCTGGATTATGATAGAGGGCCGCGAGACTTTGACCTGAGCGCAAAAATGGAGGCTCTAGACCCTTCCAGAGCTGAGATATCGAAACTCAAAATTTCGACCCGAAAAAAAAAACGACAGTGTTACCCCTTACGTTTTTTTGCGTTTTCGGGCGAAAAATCAAGTTTCTCCAATCTTCTCAAAACTCTGGATTATGATAGAGGGCTGCGAGACTTTGACCTGAGCGCAAAAATGGAGGCTCTAGACCCTTCCAGAGCTGAGATATCGAAACTCAAAATTTCGACCCGAAAAAAAAACGACAGTGTTACCCCTTACGTTTTTTTTGCGTTTTCGGGCGAAAAATCAAGTTTCTCCAATCTTCTCAAAACTCTGGATTATGATAGAGGGCCGCGAGACTTTGACCTGAGCGCAAAAATGGAGGCTCTAGACCCTTCCAGAGCTGAGATATCGAAACTCAAAATTTCGACCCGAAAAAAAAAACGACAGTGTTACCCCTTACGTTTTTTTTGCGTTTTCGGGCGAAAAATCAAGTTTCTCCAATCTTCTCAAAACTCTGGATTATGATAGAGGGCCGCGAGACTTTGACCTGAGCGCAAAAATGGAGGCTCTAGACCCTTCCAGAGCTGAGATATCGAAACTCAAAATTTCGACCCGAAAAAAAAAACGACAGTGTTACCCCTTACGTTTTTTTGCGTTTTCGGGCGAAAAATCAAGTTTCTCCAATCTTCTCAAAACTCTGGATTATGATAGAGGGCCGCGAGACTTTGACCTGAGCGCAAAAATGGAGGCTCTAGACCCTTCCAGAGCTGAGATATCGAAACTCAAAATTTCGACCCGAAAAAAAACGACAGTGTTACCCCTTACGTTTTTTTGCGTTTTCGGGCGAAAAATCAAGTTTCTCCAATCTTCTCAAAACTCTGGATTATGATAGAGGGCCGCGAGACTTTTGCCTGAGCGCAAAAATGGAGGCTCTAGACCCTTCCAGAGCTGAGATATCGAAACTCAAAATTTCGACCCGAAAAAAAAACGACAGTGTTACCCCTTACGTTTTTTTTCGTTTTCGGGCGAAAAATCAAGTTTCTCCAATCTTCTCAAACTCTGGATTATGATAGAGGGCCGCGAGACTTTGACCTGAGCGCAAAAAATGGAGGCTCTAGACCCTTCCAGAGTTGAGATATGGAAACTCAAAATTTCGACCCGAAAAAAAAAACGACAGTGTTACCCCTTCCGTTTTTTTTCGTTTTCGGGTGAAAAATCAAGTTTCTCCAATCTTCTCAAAACTCTGGATTATGATAGAGGGCCGCGAGACTTTGACCTGAGCGCAAAAATGGAGGCTCTAGACCCTTCCAGAGCTGAGATATCGAAACTCAAAATTTCGACCCGAAAAAAAAAACGACAGTGTTACCCCTTACGTTTTTTTGAGTTTTTCGGGCGAAAATCAAGTTTCTCCCAATCTTCTCAAAACTCTGGATTATGATAGAGGGCCGCGAGACTTTGACCTGAGCGCAAAAATGGAGGTCTCTAGACCCTTCCAGAGCTGAGATATCGAAACTCAAAATTTCGACGCGAAAAAAAAAACGACAGTGTTACCCCTTACGGTTTTTTGCGTTTTCGGGCGAAAAATCAAGTTTCTCCAATCTTCTCAAAACTCTGGG